AGTTCCTAAAATTCACAATAGTGTGGTAAAAGGCAGGCCAACCTTTCTGGGAGGTGCCTTAGGCTGCCCTCAGAATCATCACAGAGTTGCTGCTAGACTCTTTTTGTGGTGGGGGGACTGTAGCTTTGCAGAACTTCTGGGTGGTACATTCCCCTGTTAAGTAAGAACTCTTTCTTCACCCTGCCTCTGTTCCTTACCAGGTAGACCAGCCAGGAAATCCAACCAGATAAGCTAATTCTACTTTATTGTAAAGCTACATTAACATAATCTTGCAAGTCTGAAAGTACAGTTCTCCCGCCGGCACCTTTACAGCCCAGTAACTTAGGAAGGGTCCCTCCTGAGCCTCTTGCTCCACCCATTAGGCAGCTGTGGGCTCTTATCTGACCGTTCCCTAGGCAGCATCTCCCAGTCTCCCAAGATCATTCCCACATACCATTACAGTTCCTGATGTGGTATGGAAATGCCCATACTTAGGGGAGACCCACTAAAAGCAGTGGGATTTACATCAGTCATTACTAGCTTGTTCCATTCATTTTAATGGATCTGTCCTAAGTATGACTGTTAACATTAGCACATGCATAAACAAGATTTTTTCTACTTAATACTGAGATATGCTTAGGAAAGTGTTCAGCCAGGAGAAAGAAATACTCTAAGAAAGCCTGTCTTCATACCTCTATAGAGGAAGAAGGAAGGCTGAATGTTTCCTCTCTTTGTAACTGCCTCACACCTCTAACTCTGCAGAGTCGACCAGGTTTTAAAGCAGCTTTCTGATATCAAAGAATCAGAGCGACGTCTGAAGACCCTTGAGATGCAGGTATGAGGAACAATCATGGATCCTTTGGAATGGGAACAGGGAGGAAAATGGAATCCCTTGGGAACTGATGGGGACAAAGGCTTTCCAAGTGGCAGCCACTAGTAGATGAAAAATGCCAGCAAGAAATGTGGAGAACAGGAGAGAGAATTGAGGGACGGGGACCTTTGGCCTTCAAGATGTTGAATTTTCCTCTCCCCCACCCATACCAACCAGAACTGCTGGGAGTTGTAGTTTACCAACCACAGATTTCTCATCCTAGGGCTAAAACGGCATTTTCTCATTAAATGAATTCATAGATCTAAGGAAATCATAGTTTGTTTTAACTATGTTTTATTTTTAAAAAAGCCACAGTGGTGTGCTAAGCCAGCATCAAGGAAATCACAATATGGTGTAATAGGACGGGTTAAAACGACTGTCTCCTATAATCCTCCAGAAACCCTACCTCTCATATATATTTCTCCCATTTACTCCCATTAGATGGAGTATTGTACCAGCGCCTTGTCTTGGATGGTAGACATCTTGGCCCAGAGCGATATAGGAAAAGGGAAGCAGGCTCCTCCTGTTCAGAAAAAAAGTAAGTAGAAAGGTAAATTTAGGAAGTCTTAAGGATATGTATACTTAATGGACAGATGACCAATACTCTGGGTACAGGAAAGCATAATATTATCTATGTAGACCTCTCAATGTGCATGTTTGCATGTCTTTACAGATTTATGTACAGTTATGAGTTAATGTGGTTTATGTGCAAAGTTTGCCATGAATGAACCTACGGAGAATGAACCACAGAAAAGTTGGCTATATTGCTGAAAAAATCTTCATAGGCCATGGAGATACTTAGTTCCTTTTCATATTTCCATCTAGAGGGCAAAAGATTGGCGAAGAATGATCCAAGGCCTCACTAGATCTGATGAGGCTACCATACATCAGACTCTTTTGCAAGAGAATTAGAAGCCCAAAATTCCAGATGTTTGTGTCTACATCCCTCTGAAGATAGGCAAAACATGCTAGGTTCAATAAATATATTTCTCTGGAAAACATTTTTATTGGTAAGGGTGGTGAGATCCACAGCTGGAGGAACCACCTTATTCCAAAGCTCCTTTACCCTTAGACCAACAAAACAGATGGGAAGAAATAGCATCATGGTATTTTTTGTTCTTTTTGTTGTTTTAGGCTAAGCTGTTCCAGCATCTTCTGTGATGTCATTACATTTATTTGTATCTCTCCTCCTTTCCTAAGGTGTGTCAGGGTGGCAATAGATTTACAGGAACTACAATCTCTTTTGGGGTACCTCCTACCCATCTTCTTTTTGTGGTCTTTAGTGCTAGAGTTGATTCTATGAATTCTGACAATGGTAAAGGACCACTATGGGTCTTCCCACAGCCTCATGATGAATACGGAGAGGTTAGAACTCCCCATCTGAAGTAGCTAGAAAAGAATGGAAAAAATCATCTGGAGCTTGGGGTGCCACATGATTGCAACCTAAGACGAGTGGATTTGGCTTAATACTGCCATGGCACTCCTTGAAACATGCATACACGTTTCTCTGTCATAGGATACCCAATGTAGAACTTCTGAGTGGCTCTGAAACTTCTGGTTGTGCACAGCCCTAATTTAGAGATAGTTGTAATGCTACACTTCAACCTGCTTCTCATCTCCAGAAAAGTGTTACCATTAAAAAAATAAAAAGAATTATACATTTAAAAAAATAAATAAATACAGTAGAGTCTCGTTTAACCGACCTTCGCTTACCCGACATTCCGTCTTATCCGACGCCCCTAAAAAAAACACAACACGCATAAATCAGCGATGAGAAAAGTGTGCCACTTGTTTGCGAGCGTGAGTGTACTCTTTCTTGTTGCTCCTGAAGGTGCGGCGCCGCAATGCAAAAATCGATTGCAACAGGCACAGCGGATCTTTTTTTTTTTTTTTAACCGCACTCAATCGTTACTGTGTGTTCTCTGACATTTTCGCTTATCCGACGTTCTGCTGGCCCATTTATGTCAGATAAGCGAGACTCTACTGTACTTCAATTGTTACATTCAATTGATGTTGTTTATTTACTTTATTTCTATACTGCCACAATTCATATATAATCTTGACCTCATGTTCAGTACAGCTTGAAATACGGGTTTTAAAAAAAGCATCCCACTTTTTTAGTTAACTGAATCTGTATTAGATCTTATGTGTTTGCCCTTTGCAAAACAAAGATGGTGAAGGTTGTGGTAAAAAGGCATATAGCAACCATGGTGTTGATGTAGATGGCATGCACCCTTGGCTAACTAGACTTTCTAGCATCACTGGTGAAGCCAGTTCCATTAGAGGAATGTGAGAATTTACAGCTGAATTACTAAAGTTCCTGAAGGGAACAATAATTAGGTGCAACCAGATGGCACTTCAAGTCTTCCTGGTCCTTAATCTCCTTTATTTCTCCAAGCTCTGTAAGGGTGGAAGGGGTTGCTAACTATCAGTGTGGAAGTGTGGAAGGGGAAAAACAAATGCTTTCTTCCTCTGTTGAGGAAATCCCACTGTTGAAGGTAGTGTTTAATTTTGGAAGACACAGTCCCCAAACGAATCCAGCTAATCTCACTTTTCACCTACCTACAACTTGGTAGAGAATGCACTGCCCTCTGGTGGACCATTTGGATGTAATCGTATTTCACATGTTTTGCTGGTCTCTTCCTACAGATTGAATTTTTCCATGGGACATGAACAAGGACAATGAAGAAGAGTAGTGGGCTGCTGCTATTCACAGAATCCCAAAAGTGTCTCAACACCTGATGCCTCAGAGAATTAGACAGAATGTAGGCTTCAGTTGGAAACGGTTGAGAGGGTGCAGGATCACATTTCAGTTCAGCTACAAACACCCTCCGTCTGACTTTAGTTTCCTTCACTGGAAATAAGAATGATCTACCTCACAGCATTTCAGTGAGAATGAAAGCAATGTAGACAATTAAAAAAAACAAAACTGAGATGCCAGAAATGCAAAAAAAGTGGATAATCATCCCTGTCCTATACTTATATTGATACCTGAATCAGCTGCTGATTTTGAGAAAATATTTGTGTAACTATAGAGATGGGCAATCTTTTGGTGGCTCGGCCACAATTACATTGAGCTCCTCAAAATTCAACAAGATATAATACTGATGCAAAGCAGGCGAGGCTAGTTTTTCTGGGGTGTTTGGGAAAATGTTCTTTGTTTTTGTTGGATATGCTATGGTTTACCTGTGATTCCTGACAGAAATTTGTGAGAAATGGTGCCACCAAGTTTCTGCTATGGTGGTCAGAGCTCTTGGGTGGAAGTTTGAATACTAGATGCACCTGGTGTAATATAAATGGGAATAGTTAGAACATACTATGCCTCAAAGGAATGGTTGGGAGTCAATGAAAGCCCATACCTCATATGCAGAAGGCCTAACGGTCAGTCCATGGCACTCCTGTTAAAAGGATCTTGATGTAGCAGGTGATAGAAAAGTCTATGTACCTGGAAATCTTAAAGCTATTATCAGTGCAAGTAGAGAAGGCAATGGTGTGCCTGTTACAAAACAGCTCCTGTGTTCTTAAGATAATCAGTTCCCTAAGTCTTCACATGCACAATCCAGGCTGACATTAATTTCCCAACTGCATGTTTGCTTGGCATCTCGTTCCTAGCTATCTTTCAACCAGCCCAGGAGCCATGCAGTTGCTACTGTACAAGGTCAGCAAGTGAGTGGGTGAAGACATGTATGATACGGTATCATATTCTAATATGGCAAGGAATGGAAACTAGAACTTTTCTAACTGATGATTCATCTACCCGTTCTACATATTGGGAATCACAGAAAAGATCATGGCTGACACCTGCAAGCCAATTCGTAAGAAAAAGGACACACTCCTAATCATGTAGATTATTGCTGTGTCTTACTTGAAAAGAGAACCTGATTGTTTTATAATTTATAATTAAAAAAAATATTAATGGATCATTAAGATTCTAGGGTTAAAAAAAATTAGACCACACAAGGCCCTTGGTTAGCCCACTCAGTTCTGGGGAGTATAAAGAATGTTCTGATGGATCAGGAAACATCCATTTCAACCTACACATGACCAAAGATCCTTTATATGTAGGGAAAGAAGTTGCTTGTTTGCAATCCTCAATATTTCAGCATAGGTGATGTCTGGGTCAGTAAAACAAATTCTACTTTTTAATTTTTTTAAGGAAAACTAACAGCAGTAAACATTAGAATGTCTTTCAGATAGAAAACTAAAAATAGCCAAGGCTAAGCAAAGTTAACTGAATAAAGGAGTTACTGAGATCCAGGCATTTAGTCTTTTCCCTGCAATATTTATAAGGTTAAAATTGTTCCAACTGTGGCTAGTTTCATTGAGAAATCAATATTCATGGCATCAGGACATGTATTTCCTCCTGGGCTGTGTTAGGAGCAGCTTTATGAAGAGAACAGTTTTGAATACCCCCACTCCCCTGCCCCATTTCCACAGTTTTTAAGTTTGTTTCTTAAATCCAGCAATCAATTCTATCAAAGAGGATCATAGCTCTCCATCATATTTGATTATGCCCTGACCTGAGGTCAAAAAATCTGCTGCTCTCTTAATGGAATATTGATTCTCCGCTTTGTTTTTAATCATGGGTGTCTCCCCAGCACTCTGGAGATTAGCAAGAGGGGAAAGCAATAGTTATCGTTAGATAGTAGTTATAGATAATTGCAAAAAAGGCAATATATTGCTAGAAGATACAATTTGTTCCAAAGAATAATTATAGCATTGAGTTTTCAGTGTTAGTTTTTAGTCTTTTAAGGTTTTTAAACTGTGAACTTGTTTGTGAACCAAACGGTTACTGAAAAGTCATTTACAAATCAAACCACACGTATCAAATCAATTTTCCTTTCAAAAATGTCACTTTTATGGCAAAAGAAATATTGCTTCTCCTAGCATTGCTTAGAGACACATTACAGAAGCATTAGAATGCATATGACTGGAATTGTAATTAATAACAGAAGGAAATTAGTGCTATTGACAATGTGATAGTTTATAATATATTTAATTAAATGCATTTGACAAAATGTTAAGAAGGTGTTAATATTAAGAAATCCAGAGACCTTTAAATCTTTATGTACAAACGTTTCTGATCATCATCACTATGAATTCCCCCTAACTGAAAAAGTAAATTACTTCAGATTTAGACTGAACATGGAATTAAATCACATACCCACTAAAAAGGGGCAGAAAGAAAGGCATACACCAGTGTTTCTCAACCTCAACAAGTTTAAGATGTGGGGACTTCAACTCCCAGAATTCCCCAGGCAGCATGCACTGGCTGGAGAATTCTGGGAGCTGAAGTCCCCACATCTTAAACTTGCTGAGATTGAGAAACATTGGCATACACTAATATTCCACAGATTGCTACGGCGACATGACCGTACGCTCCAATTCTCACTTTACAAACATCGAACATCCCCCCACATCGCACATCTTTTTGTTTTTAATGACATCAAGCTTAAAAAGGATTACAGGCTATTTTACTTTGGAAGTGACGCAAGCCACTTCTGAGCTGCCAAATAACACGATCGGGGAGGGGGGAGTTTCCCGTCCCCTTTTGTCATAGCAGCCCCTTCGTTCCCAGGGAGAAACTTGAGAGGGAACCAAAGTTGCCGGAACTCATTCCCAATCCCACTCGTTCACCCCCGGAAGGGGGCCTGGTGGAAGCGCCAGGCTGACTTAGAGATAGAAATAGAGAGTCGCACACTATTTCCGACTTGGCCCGAATTGATGCCGTGCTTCACTGAAAATGCAAAGGCGACCGGCCTGCCGCCAGCCAGTCCGTCGAGCCCGAGGCTGCTGCTTCTGCGGATCGCTCAGCACCGAATTTGGGCTAGATGGGGCGCCGAGAAACCACTTAACTAGACCGACCTTTGCCGCAGCCTAAGGTGTGTGAGTTTCTCCATGACGATCTATCCCTACAGTTTCTAACTACATCATTTTGAGCCCAATTGAACAACCAGTGACTCTTCCTTCTCCATCGCGGCTGGGTGATGGATCCTTTCCTCAACTTGGCGCCCCCCAGATGCGTTGGAGGTCAACTCCAGACTTCCCCACCAGTGATGGGAACTATAATTACATCTGGAGAGCGCCAGCTTGGGGAAGGTTGATGACGGGGTGGGGGCTGCAGAGTTGATGGCAGCAACGATACGGGAGGGGAAAGGAGGAGTTTTAATCCTTTCCCTGCAATCTGTTTTCGCGATCCAATCGGCAGCTGCACGAAAACACCTGCTTTCCACACGTGTGTTTTTGCGCGCGGTGGGAAAACAGGAGGTCTTTAGTGGTGAGGAACCGTTTCCCACCCCCATCAAAATGAATCGGGAAGTGTTGGGCTCAGAAAGGGGATGTGCCATTCCGATCTGTGCAAATTTCTGCCTAGGGTGGATTAGTCCTGGGCAAAGGTGTGCGAGGCTGTTGCTTCGGAGTCACACGCCGTTCCTAATGGGCAATCTCCCTCTAAAAGCGGATTAGTTTTTTTCCAGCTCTATGACGCTTTGCATCCGTAGGACGTGCAGATCGGGCGGCTTTCGTTTTCTCCTGCTCAGCGTAGGCGGTGTGTCTCTCTCTATTTTCCTACCTCTATAGAGAGGGGGTACTTTGGAGCGAAGCTACATTGTTTCGTCCGGGGGCGGATGAAGTTCACTTCCTAGTCGGGTCGGAGAAGGGTGTCGTTCCCCCTTTCGGACTTCGTATTCTGGAATAACGTCTCGGCTAGGCCTTCCTGTCTCTGCGGATGCGGAAAAGGAGCGCTATGGTGCCGTTTAGTTAGGAGCCTCGTCAGGTGCAACTTTTCCTTCCCGCTCAATGAGGGCGACAGGACCTAAAAGGCGGTTCTGCCCTCCCATTCATAAAAAGAAGACATCTTTCTAAGCGCGTAGACGTATATATACAGTAATCCCAAGCGAGGTTGTCGAATTACTTCCTCTCTCCTGCAGTCTTTCCTTGGCTACTGCTCAGAATTTTAGATCGTTTAGATCAGTGTTTCTTAAAGTGTGGTCTGAGGCCCCCCAAGACCCTCTCGGGGGTCGGCGAGATCAAAATGATTTGCCAGATATTGAAGATATTTGCAAACATTTAAAACGGTGTCACTCTTTCATGATTATTTTTTATTTGTTCAAAAAAAGTAGGGTTTTTTTCATGAAAAATATTTTGTTTGTGTTAACGTCATGGGTTTAACATTGTTATTTTTACATGATTCAAATAAATATTCTACAAATGCAACGATTTTAATTTTTAATACAGTAAATATTGATCAATATAACCCATACAAACAAACAACTCTTTTGGGGTCCTTCATAATTTTTTAAAATGGGAAGGGATCCTGAGTGCAGAAACACTGATTTAGATAATACATTTAGATAATTTAGATAGTTCACTCGTGATAATGAACTCTAGGATGTAGCCACATTTCTGCTCCTCATAGGAGGTTATATACATCTCTCTTGTTTCCATTTGGCCTACCCACCTTGCCTTGTTTCTCTGGTTGATTTATAGACTCTGAGAACAAAACGTTCTTCATTTAGCCCTTTCTCTTCATGCCCCAACCTCTCAACCTGCTCCCAGAGTTCAGCACATGTTTGTAGCATGGGACGTATTTCTTGCATGCTTTTAGTGGGATCTGCTTTATGGGGGAACATGGAAAACTGTGGTGTGCCATCTGTACATGGCACTGTGTTGCTTGGAAGCCAACGGTCTCTCATTGCTTGCAGGCTGCCTAGCAACATGCAGTGCTTTCTCATCAGTCAAGATAAGCGACATGATCCAGTTCTTCTGCCTGATGGTGTGACTGTAGTTCTGGGCAGGGGTCCAGAAACACTTGTCACTGATAAGAAATGTTCTCGAACACAAGGTCTGTAATTTTTCTCTTCTTAGAAAAGATATTGCTGTTAGCACAAAAAATTGCCTTAAGGAGCATTTTTCTTCTCCTTCCCCAGTTAGTTCACTGACTTTCATAACGTTTGGGGTGGCTGCATTGGGTAGTTGTGTGCTGTGTTTTGAATCCTCCCTGTGTAAATGTTATAACTGGAAAATAATTGGTGTTCCACATAAATGGACTATATGAAACATATGAGAAATGTTAAGCTGTAGCTAAGATTCAATGCTCTGTTCTGTTACAGGAACTTGCATCTTTCTCCTGTGTTTTACCTTCTAGAAATCCAACAGTCTTAATATTTTCTGTGTCTTATTTTCTCTTATTTTGGCTATCTATTCAAATACAATACAAATTTCTTCAATGTTAAACCAATTAGTTACTTTTTTGTTGAAAAGAATGCAAAGATAGAGGTAAAAATGGGGTCAGAGTTATACAAGGATTCCAAAAGCTTGAGTAAATGATATAAATAACCTTTGTTTTTTCTTGTTTCTTGTTCCCTCCCTTTGCTGTCCTCATTTCTCTTTCCTTTTGTCCATTTCTCTCCTCTCCACTCCACTCTTCCCCAACAAACTCACCATTCCTTTTTTTTTTTTAAATGCCATCACTCTAATACTTTAGGTCTTATCTTATGTATATATGTATTCTTCCTGAGTTGCTTTGTACCTT